CAAGATAGTGCACGAATAAATGCGACAAAGTTTTCAAGATGGACCGATATTCTCATGCCTACGGAAGCATTTGTTTGCAAGAACTAGTACAAATCGCATTAACAAAGCTTTGCTCAGTTAACTTAACGCACTTATTATTATCATTTTCTACTTAGAGCGTCTGTAGGTGATAATATTTAATATTTTATCTTAAGCTAAAATATTTGCTGATGGGGTGAAGAGAAGTTCTTTGTGGGATCTCAGTCTTGAAGCCAAGATTTTTGTTTCGCTCTATTTGTGGTCAAGGCCACTTGGCGTTTCTATTACTTTCTGAGGATATTATTTAAAGTTCAGCAAATGGGCGAAAAAGAGGGGGAGGGGTGAGATATTGATTTTTTGCATTCATCTGTACTCTCTTAATCATGCTGTCCAAGTTCGTCAGTTTCTGAAGATGTTACCAATTTTAAAAGCTTTGATGGTGATGGTGCAAAGTTACTGAGCAGTTAGTTGGCACAATCTAGTTGAATATTTGCTTTCCACTAATTGATAAGATATTTTCTAATAATCCAGTCACCATAGCATACGATCTAATCATTTTGGCACAAAGGCATTTTATTACCTCAAAGCACAACATGGACATTTTCGTTGGGAAATATAGCTGCTGAAGGTACCACAATTTCTGAATGACAGTTTATGACTTGGAGGTGGCACATTCTCGGATTGGCTGACACTATTCCCGGACTTCGGTCTCGTTGTCTGAAATCGTGTCAACTGAGCAACCATTTTTACAAATACGTCAGTCGTCTTCTCCATTAACCCCTCATTATCATTAGTTAATAAATGTAGACTCATATCAACAATTTTAGTGTACATGCTAGTCAGTCAGACAAACGAGTATGACAAAGGTGCAGCGGGGGGGGGGGGAGTGAGTAATTTGCTCCACGTAGCTCGAACTTTTTGTACTTTACTTAGTGGTGAAAGGGGGGGGGGGCGCATTTGCGTTATAATTTCAAGACTTTTGACATGAGAGTGATATACCGTTGGTCTGACCACACTTGTAGTTTATAGAAAAGTTACGGACCTGATTATACCACATTTTTCTTTCATAATTGGCTGATTTCACAGTACATTTACATCTAGTTTTGCCAAATTTATGACATTTTGCGTAGCTATTTAAATTGAAGTTGGGGGGGGGGTTCCTTTAAGAATTCATCATGGATTAGCTAGAAAGCAGTCCTATGATTAGGCTAACCATAGTATCTGTTGGTAAAGCACACGACCGATATGATTGTGAACCAGATGCGACGGACTTTGGTTCAACAAAGACCCCAATTAGGTTAACTGTCAATTAATCTCTGTATCTCTAGTACCAACCACATACGTGAAGTCGTTGGTCGCTCTTTACTTTACCGCAGTTGGACAGAAGTCATACATTTCAAAAACCCCCATCAGCACGAATTTATGCTAGACAGCATAGTGACTAGACCATTAATTAGTTAATATAGAGATAGTTTATTCAAATATAGTTCTTTATATTACATTAGCCTCTCTATGAGAAATTTATTTAACCGTTTCAATTCCACGTGCGCAATTTTGGACGAGTAACCCAGCTCCATTTACTACAGATTTCTCTCTCTCACTCTTGCGATTCTCGACTATTGCCAAAAACTCAATTAGTTCATCTCAACTTCCGTTCCTTCGAGTTGGTAAATATTGCTGCGTCCTGTTATCTTTCAAGAGCAATAGTTTTAAAAGGGGATAACTCAGTTGCTTTACTATCGCGTTTAGCGAAAGTTTAAACAAATACTGCATCTCAAATTTGACTCAGCCTGAGTCACATTATATTGTTCAAATTTCATTTTAAATAGCAAGTCCCAATTTTACCACTTGAGGATTGAACTGACATAATAACGTAATAGTACGTATTAGCTTTCGATATCAATCAAGTGGATGAGGATAAAATGGTCAACAAGCACTCAATTTATCACAAGTATTTTAATGTTAATCAAAAGTATGTACTTAATTTGGCATTAAACACCAAATTGAGAACGGCAGTATGTTATATTTATTTAAGTAAATTTTGACAATTTCCCACCTTACAATCACTCTTTAAATCGTTTATGCAACTGAAAAACTCGAGTAGGCTTCCAACAGTTTACAAGAGAGTAGCTTCGAACAGGGAATATCTACCTGTACACCTGTATGCTCCCTCATGGTAGAATGTTAGGAGCTGTCTCTGCCAACATGAAATTACAAGTACTTTCGCTTTATCTAAATATGCAAATGGGGAGGGAGCAACGTATGGTGTATAAGGAGGACGTGGCGGTGGTTCCCATCGAAACTCGAACAATAGGGCCCTGATTGCTATTGAGGAATACGCAGAGGAATTGTCGTGATGGAACGAATTCGACTAGACAGTTGAATGTGCTATCTCATGGCAACGGATGTCTACGACTTTTTCTTCCTCCTCCTCCTCCCCCTCTTCCTCTTCCTCTTCTTCTTCTTCTTCAAAACGCCTTCTTAATAACTTGATGAGACCATTTCTGTTCTTCTAGAAGGTCTTCCAATACGGACCACCCCCCCCCCTGAATCCCAAAAACGGTGGACATGGTCTTTTGAGCGAATCTTTTAGTTTTTAGCTTGACAGGAGTAGATGCTCACCTTGGATACCACTATTTTGATGGAATTCTCTTTTCCGGATCAATCTGAAAGATCTAGGTTTCATCTCTTGTAGAACACCACCAAAAATTATCCTCATTTGTTTCCACCTTTACCAATGTTAGTAACGAAAGTTCAGTCCTCTCTGGATCAGTTGTTGACTAGGCAACACTTTCGGAACCCCCAGTGGCCACCGAGAGTTTGCTCAAGCCAATATTATGAGCGAGAATTGCGAATGCTTATCCGTGTGCCAATCCTACTTCATTGGCGATTTCCACAATGGTAACTTGTTCATCTTGTTCTACTAGATTGCACTGGGCACAAGAGAAATATTTTCTTGATTTCTCTGCGTGGTGGGTCTGCCTCCTCCCTCCTAGTGGGTCGAAATGGGGTTGCACTCTTCCCCCTTTGAAGCCTTCAATCCAATCACAAATGACTGCTCTACATGGTGCAGAGTTCCATCAACCTGTTGTAAAGTTTCTATGACCTGAGAGATTGGCAATTTCTTTTATTTCAAAATGTTATGTTAGATCTGATCTCCAAACTTGTCATGTGAAGTACTGAAAGTTGCTTGGCAATTTGAGATGCAACCTGTCTTGAACCTGACCTTGCACAGAATGATCGGACAGTTGTGCGTTATAGAGATGTCTCTAAAGACATGTTTGAACTGGTAAAACTTATAAATCTTTGTTCTATTTTAAGTTATGGCATTTGTCAGTAAACTTTTAGACTCAATTTCGTTTAAATTTTTTAATCACAATCAATTGTACATTTTCAGCTTTCTCTAAATTGGAGAAAAATAAATAAATTTGGGTACTTTAAAATAATTGAATAAATTGAAGTCGATTTTGGTCCTTTTAGTCAAAACGCGTTGAGATATTGCAATGATGATTTGGTAGGTTCCACAATGTTCAATCCATCTCTCTTCTAAACGCGTGATCTCTGTGCAATTTTTCAACGCACTGATCACTACGTCTCTTCGAAAATTCGATCTCAAGGTCAAAAGGGGTGTGGGGGAAGAGGTTGAACTCCCTCCTCTCCTTCCCAGTTTAGTGATTCACACGTGCGCCAAGATCCCAAAGCTGACGTGACCTCGAATTGATCTAATCGCATTTATTCCATCTCTAATGACTCACATATCAACTTGGCCGTTAAATCTGCGTGCAAAATTGGTGTAAATTCAATTACCATCAGAGAGTAACTGATCAAGTGAACATCCGAAAATCGTAGATGGATAGCGGGGACCCATACGAGATTTTGAATATCCGGATTTTAAGCCTCGGTATTTACGAGCTTAATGTCTCCCTTCTCAAACCTGGTTGGTTCTGTCTATTTCTATTAATAATCTATAATAGCCCCAGCAATCTGTTCCAGAGAGCTATTAGATACGATTAAGTGGATTGAATAAAGTAAATGCCACAACATTGCATGTTAATAGTGCTCCTTTTGATTGAAATCATCACGTGAGTCATTTTCATCCACAAACCATTTACGACAATGAGCTCTCCCCACCTCTCTATGAGCCAGGGCAAAACAACGCCTGGCACATTCAACGTCTTCAAGAGTGACTAAACAGTGAACCTTCAATCTAACTACTATTTACTTAAGACCATCCAGAAAAAATAGTCCACGTGGTTTAATAACAAATGTATTCAGTAATAGTAATAAGAAGCTAGCGAAGTTGTACAGTCGTTTGAGGGGGAGGGGGTCTTGTAAAATTCGATGGATAGACGAGGGAGATTGGACGGAGTGAGAGAAGGAATACATAAAAGGTTAGTGATAAAAGCATTTGGACCTATGGTGTAGGAATGATAATGGTGTTGGAAATATAGGGAGGGGGAAGCGCCAGAGAGCCTATCAAAAAAAGAGGTGAAACAGACAAAAATAGTCGGAGACAGGAAGGGTGGATTGGGGAAGTTTGACGACAAATCATGGGTACAGGCATGCCCTGAGCCTGGGGAGAATATGAGTAGAACCCCAATGGTGGAAAAATAAGATAGAGGATGGTGGGGGGGGGGGGGGGGGGGGGGGGTTACTAAATGCGAGTCTCACTGCGCAGTCAAACACAACTGAGTGTACAAAATATACATACATAAATCATGGGTCGTTTACAAATACAGAGTGAGAGGGAGCACAGCCCAGTTAAGAGTGACAAAAGAGAGTGAGTGACAAAGGACGTAATCCCATTGCTACTAATTCTACTATTAAGCAGACGGAATATATACGGACGGAGAGACTGTGAGCACATTGAGAGAGAAAATAGAGGAATGTTGCTTCGGAGTAAAACGCGTGAAGCAAAGACAACACGAAATGCAACCGAGTGAACGGATGGATAGATACAATGGGCGGACGCAGTTAGCCAGTTAGACCAAACCATTATCTTGTTTCTTGAAGATGTTCAAGAGCTTCTCCATGGCAACCTGTCGATTCTGGTGTGATCGATGGAGCTCAGTGGCAACATCCGAGGCCATTTTAGCCAAACGAGCTTGTGTAACATCTTCAGCACGAAGCGTGTCAATTATTTCATTAATTTCACGAAGATTAGGCGAAAAACATTCAAGTAGGTTCGGTGGTAGAGCAGGAAGGAGACCGAGGACTTGATTGGAGAAGAGAGAATTAATCGGATTATTGTTAGAATTGTTGTCATTAACGCCCGAGAGTGGATTACCATTGTTGGTTGAGCCGTTTGTCATAGGTGGCGTTTCAGGCTCATTCAGATTGTGAGATGGAGTCAAATTAGCTAAAGAGCTGAGTAGATTTGCCGTGAGAAGTGATAGGTTGGGATCTCCAGAGGGTGGGAAAGCCAAAGCTTGCTGAATAAGGCTAAGGGGGTCCGGAGAACCATTCTGTGAAGCGGATAGATCCTGAGCTTGCTCCTGAGACTCGCTTTTGATGGGTGCTTGCTGTTGCTGATTCAATAAGTTCTGGAGGAATTGTGATTGAAGGATCAGAGAATTCGGTGAGGGCAGTTGGAATGGCGCTGTTGAATCCGGTTCGGGATGAGAACCCTGATTATTAAGAAGACTTTGGAGCTTATCATTTCCATTGCTACTACCATTCGGCCGGGAATCGACGAAAAGTGCTGAAGCTGGAATATTGCCAGATTTGGTTATGCCGCAAAAACTCTTTCCAACACTCGTAGGGGTAGAATGAATACTGTTCGCAACGTTGGAGGAATAAAGGGAACGATTTGCTCGAACTGCAAGAGCTTTGCCATGTGGTGAGTTAAAACCACTGTATGACATCTCCTGTTTGTAATTTACACCCTGACCGCCAGGGGTGGGCGGTAAAGATTTAATTCCACTTCTATCGCACACTTGCATCGTTGAGGCATTCACATTAGGATAAATGATAAGGATGAGTCTAGCAACCTCACGAAGAATTTGACTATTTCTTACAACCTTTGAGGGATTGTTTACCAAAAGGCGAACATCTCTGCGAAGATTTTTCCACTTGTTGTAACAATGTTCTGTGGTGAATCCATAGGGCTCCATTTTAGCCCCGATAGCTTGCCACACAGCTTTGTGCTTTTTTTGAACATTAAAATCCTCTAAATGGTCTTCAACACATTTGAGTAACAACTGTACATCTCTAGTGGTCCAGTGAACTTTCTTTTCGCTCATATCAGCATTAGGTTTTGGGCTGCCCAAGTGCGAATGCAAGAGTCTGCTACCATCCATTTCATCATCCTCATCTTCAGCTACCATAGTGACATCATTCCCCAGTTTGTCGACTGGAGACCCACCATTCATGGAATGATCACGTGAATCTGATTGATTATACATAGGCAGCTGTTCTTCTTCATAATCAGCGTCTGGAAAGCTCGGACTTGATTTATCCGATGTTTTACAGGGAAAATCTTCCATATTTTAAGAAATCCGTAAATAATATTAACTAAGTGCAATAAAACGAGTAAGAACAAGTTAAATAATATAAAGAAATGTAGATAAGAAGTGACTAACTTTTGAGCAGTCGACGCAACGCTCTCAAAAGAAAGAATAAAGCAACCGACCTTCAATTCAACAGTTTGTGAAAAGTTAAAACGCCAAACAGAGTTTAACTCATGGCTTCGAGACATCAAAATTATGACAATCGTTTGAAGAAGATTGAATTTTATAAAACTTGAAATACAATGAAGCTTTTATCATACGTATTCTATATATAATTTATTTGGAGAGAAATGGTGAGCCACGACGTTACCCTTGAATGTATCAAAAGAATTAAATAATGCACGATAAGACGTTTCAAAAGAAACCTATAATTTTGAATAAATGATTATAAATATACTTTTAAATAAAAGTGAATATGAGAATTATTTGGAAACTTGCCACCTAGTAGTGCTTATATGGAATTGTCAAAATAACTTGTTGTCAGATTGAATAAATTGATACGTTCAAAATGTTCGTCAGCTTTGCTTATTAGCTTAAAAAAGTTTTTCAAGTTGTTCCAAAACAGTTAAATTGTTCTCAACGACATACTTGCAATTAAACACTTGATATCGACTTCCGCTAACTTACTCAATGGCTGCCACAAATTACGTTCTTAATGTACAAAAGAAAGACTCAGCATTCTTCTGCTTATTCGATGAATAAGCAACCAAAATCTGAATCAAATACAAGAAATCATGATTAACTATATTGAGGTTTAAACTAATTTTTAGTAACCCTTTTCATTGATTTTAATGCATTTGACTTGTTATTAAACTATTTGCAACTAAAATTACAGACTTTAGGCAATATTTGCGCGTATTATTATTTTTTATTGCAGTTAATGGCACTTTTTTGAGGGTTTTTTAAAATACAACTTAAAATTTGCAAAACAAACGTAAGAAGGGCTATTTTAGACCCGTTATTTGGGAAAATTTTATCTTAGTGAATAAAACCAAATAGGAAATAAAGGCGTAAGTTCAGCATGTATAAAATCGTCAAATTCTGCTCTTTGTGTGCACTTAGGCCAGCACTTTATATTCCAATTTGTGCCTGAAGATGGAGGACCCAGTGGATGATGAAGAGAAGAGGGATGAACAAGTTCGCTTCGAATTTAAAAATAATTTTTTAGGCCTTTGACGAACAAAATAATGACATAGACTTCGTTTACAATGATGCAGATGAATATGGTGTTGAGATAGCTGGTGCTCAATATGTTACATTATTAATTTTATAATCATTTAGAGCTTTATAGCTACTCAGAAGAGGGAGATTTTTTGGAAAATGCTCAAGCTTTCGGAGAAACATTTAAAAGTAATCACTTACATCTAAGATAGATATATTATTTACATGCTTATACTAATCTCTTCTCCTTTGCAGCTCAAAGCAAGTGGGTCGATGCAAACGATCAGATTCGTCGCGGTTATGTCATTAAACTTCTCGATATTCTTGAGTCCGCCGATGGAGAAAATCGAATTAAAGCGGCTCGTTCTCTACTTTATCTCCTACAGGGCGTTTTTAAGGAGTGTGATCTTGAAGAAGATCAGATAACATGGGCGAGGCAAAATGTTTACCTTTGTATTGAATGTGGGGTGCTTTCCTCAATTTTATCTGTACTATTACTCGAAATTCGTTACGAGTAAGTCGTGTGTTCATTTATTGTTTATTTAATTTAGTGACTGGGCTAAAAACTTGAGCTCAGCTAATTTGGATTCCACTAATACCGATCCAGTTAAGAAAACTTTGATTACAATAGTTGACAGTACTAATATACGGATCGTCTTATCTATCATCTATATTTTGGTTGAAACAGTTCGAGATGGTTGTCAAACAGCTAATTCTAGTAGTAACGGACACTCGGCTACATCAACTATGACGAAAACACAGCCCTCCTCTGTTGTAGATCGAACAGCTAAACTTCGCGAGCATTTCATTGAAGAATTGGGTATTTAGATGAGCTTACCTCTTTTGTCTTTGTCTTGTTCAAATTCTGATACTAAATTTTGTTTTAGGATCTCCGATTAGCAACGGGAACTGTCTAGCGATTGTTCTCTTCGGAATGGTACATCGATTTTGTAGTGGTCTAGCTCCACATTTCCCCATGAAAAAGACCCTTCTTTCCCTCTGGAAGACAGTTCTTCTTACTCTTGGTCCACTTTCCGGTCTTTTTGAACTTAAAAATCGTCAGCGTCGATTAGCCAAGCTCCCCGAATTGCACGAAGATACTCACATTGTCATTCGTCGGATTCGTGCCAATAGTCCACCGGCCAATCCCGCTGACAATATCCTCAATCGCCCCCTACGAAACAACAACAGACATGCAGCTATCGGTCAGGGCACCCAAGGACCTCATCAAGGTAGCCTAGCTGGTGGCCGATTAGCTGTTCAACAACAACTTGCTCAGCAGCAGTTGCAACAGCAGCTCAATCAGCGACAAATGCAGAGAAGATGGAATCCTTCTTTCTATCAATGTGGAACTAATGGGGACTTGAATTTGAATAAGGATGATGAGAACTTAGGAGCTGCAACTCCACGTCCTGGTTCACCTGTTAGAAGCCCGGAGAGTGGTAATGAGATTGAGGAAAAGAAAGCGGTTGCAGCGGCTCAGTTCTCTCATTCGATATTGTCCCAGCAACTCATAGCTGGCATCATGAATTCTTTATCGGATGTTAAGGTACTTCCCTGGAGACCGAAGGTTCGAACTAGTGATATTGAAGTGAGTTTAATGTAGTCTATATTTCATCTCTTTGTGTTTGAATTACCACCGATTTGCTTTTCTTCCACTGCAGAACTTCCTCGACAGTGCACGGCAGAAGTTTATAGGCTTCAGAGTCAATAATGATATGACTACACTTTATGGATTGCCTGAGCCTATTCATGAAGCAGTGAAAGTGTTAAAGAAGTATCACTATGTCTCACTTGGTGAAATTCAAATTAAGAGAGAAGCGGAGTATATCAAATATCCATTGTTACTGGTACGTCCAGTTAGAGTTGTTTCAGTTAATTATTTTTCGTCTAAAGGGTAAGGAAGATATTCCGGATACACCTGCTGAACGCCTCTATGTTGCAATGCTACCTCTTCTGCCGCAATACATGGTGAGCTTTAATTTGACGCAATTATTGTATCTCAATTCGTCTTTTTCATGGCTTAATTTTTTCCTTGAGCACATGTCTACCTTCACGTTGAGTGTCTATAGGCGATATTTCGGAACGAATTTCAGTTCCTAAATGAGTTCGGTTGAATCTCACTTGTCGTCAGGTTATGTAGTAATAAGAAAGGATAATGCAGATAACTTCTTGGAAAGGAATTTGAGATTCTCTCCTTTTCTTTTTTCTCAACATGGGGTTTCAACATCCCCATTGTCTATTTAATTGTTTTCCTCAATTAGTTCAGACCATGAGAGAGGTTTCACATATTAAGTGATCAGAAAATTATGTATTTTGGTTGATGGAATAAATATGAATTGCTGTTTCTCCTTTTTCCCTTTTAGATTGCAATACTCAAAATTTTATTGGCTTCCGCACCCACCTCTCGTACCAAGACTGAGCCTATTAACATTTTAGCGGAAATAACTCCCCTAGAAGCTCCGTAATTTTTCTTGTTTTGTCCCTCAATTCATTCTTTTTTTTATAGAGATAACCAGTTGCAGACCCTCATAATGAACTACGACGTGAATCGGCATCGGGAAATCATTGTAAAAGCAATCTCTGGTCTGCTTCTCTTATTACTCAAACACTTCAAGTTGAATCATATCTACCAATTTGAGTACATCTCACAGCATCTCGTCTTTGCTAATTGCATTCCTCTGGTGCTCAAGTTCTTTAACCAGAACACTCTCCTATACGTTCAGGCTAAAAATAGGTACTCTAGATTTTTTGTTTTTTCTGACGTTTGCTTGTTTAGTATCTCGTGTTTGGATTTCCCAGCTCGAGTTATCGGAGAAGTATCACAGCTGACGCCTGAAATGCTGGTAAGTGCCGGGATTTTCGGAAAGTCCGCCCAGGGCGGTAAAATGAACAATTCCATTTCATGGAACTATTTTTGCAACCAAATAACCGTCCATGGGTGATAATACAGAAGTAAATTACTTCACCTAAGAATAACATTTTTTTCAAATGGCAGGCATTGTGATATTTATCATTAGCTCTTAAACTTTGACTTCAGCTTCCCCCAAGGGTGGGGGG